ACTTAATTCATTTGAATTTCGAGATATTTGTTCACCGTATTAATTTGAGATTATTACAAAAAAAAACAGTTTATGATAAGCTTATTTTTACAGATGCTAGTATGCGATTGACTTCCCGCTTAGACATGTATGCAGAGAGAGTGAAAATTTAAAATTTGATTGGTCATTTGCAGATCAAACGGATGCCTCCATGTCTTAGTACTTCAGTATGAAACGTCCTCGCTCAACAAAAATCATTTTGTAGAAATGGTGCTTTGTTTTGTACGAGTGCAGTGGAATGAAGACAAGTTCAGGGCCAGCGTAATTTGACTTTTAAGATGTTTTTATTCGTATATTAAATAAATTTTGCTTTCGTTTATAAAATTTTGCGCTATTCTTTTTGAATTCTGGGCCTTTTCGGTAGAATTTTGTACTTGTTGATTCTTTCTTTTTTTTTATCCATACAAACAATTGACGCGTCCATTTCAGAGCCAGAGGAGCGACCTGCGAACTACAACTCACAGAGCATCACAGTAGCCTAATGGCGTATTTTGCTCTCTCTTATGAGCCACACACGCACTGTGGCGAATTTATGGGAATGAGAATTGCTGGTGTTTGGGAATTTCGCATCTGAATTACAAAAGCTGAGAGATGAAACTTCGGATAGAGGAAGCTCTCGACTCTGCATAGCGCTAAAAATCTGAAATTGTTTTCAACTCATTTTGCATTCATATCTTGGATCAAGATCAAGTTGATGTAAACCCAGGCTTGAATGCACCAGGCGAGCCAGTGCGATCATGCGTTTTTGCATCAAATTTTGAAGTACCGTTTGTCATAGAGGGGGAATAAGGAAGAAAGAAGGAGGTCCCACATTATGCCACCATTCAGCTGAGGACGGGATTTGATCACTTGTGCGAATCGACGAATTAATGGCACATTGCTACCCTGCACATTGACCAGTATAACTTCAATTTCCAAGCTTTCGCAGTTCTTGAGATGAAGTGAAGTAGTACATCCTCATTTCCTACTACCACTGCATTTCACTGTTCCTCTCCCCTCTTCCCTCCCCCCCCTTTCCTGTCCAGGCCCGAACTCCAATGGGCGGGGCCACCTCCGTACCCCTCCCCACGTCTAATTCACCGCCATTAACAAGTGACGTGAATTCAAATTTGCCGCCCATCGTAACTGATCGTGGCCGTACGTCAACAGGTTGCACCGCGTTTGTAACGCTGATTAATCTCACTTATTTGTTACACGCAACCACTGAGCGGTGGTTGTGCGTAAGAAATTCAATGTGCTTCCTTTCAAATTCTTTCAAATCGCAGGTGCACTCTCCCATGACGGCTACGATCAGGCGGGAGGAGGAGGAGAGGGTTGGTGTGGTGGTGTGCGGCATCTCTGTGCTGTACAGGGCGCCGTAAGTGTATAGGGAACTACGCGTGGTTTGAATGGGGACTGCGCATGGTGTGCACACCAGCTGCAATTGGTGTGTGCGGCGGCTGCGTGTAGGTGTGTGGGACATGACTGGTACAGCACAATTGATTCATTGTACTTCCATTTGGCGGCTACACCGTATTTCATTTTGCTGGCAAATTCACCTGGAGAAGAGGATCTGGGGAAGCCTTGGATTTACGTGAGAAAAACGTGCGTTGCTGTATTACAAACGTGTTGTTGTACATTCGTATTCCTGTAGGCCTTTAGAAGGCAAACACAAAGGATATTGTTAAGCCCAATATTCAACGTGATGAAAGAGAGAACCGTCGCTAACTTGCAGATCGCTAATAGCAGAAATGACCCTTACGCTGTAGCCTAACACTAGGGGTCATATTGGCCGTGCTTAGGC